CTTTGCAGGTTTCCATAAATAAATACAAAGAAATACGTGTTTGCGTTGAACCGTTAAACATTGCTTTCCGATAATTAGCTGCGAAGGGCCCTTGGGTTTAGCTATGGTTGCTGGAGTCCTCTCTCCTCTCTCTCTCTCTCTCTCTCTCTCTCTCTCTCTCTCTCTCTCTCTCTCTCTCTCTCTCTCTCTCTCTCTCTCTCTCTCTCTCTCTCTCTCTCACTCTCTCTGTCTCTCTCTCTGGGTAACTCCGATGAGGTTGTGTGTGTCATTAGATGTTCAGACACAAAACTACTTTTTTCCACAGTGACTCAGACATTCACAAACAAGGATTGTGTTAACCTTAGGTAGATTAAAAACTGCTTAATGACGGCAGCACAAAATAATGATTTTTCACACCAGCATGTGGTTTGTATCCGGTGAGAAAAACATGTGAATATAAGAAAAACAGAAGGTCTATGACCTATTCGAAGCTATTGCGTGTGACCCCGAACGAGGCAGGTCCTGTTGACCCATACGAGGCTTGAGAATGATACTCATCCGTGTATTAATCTCGAGTATAATAGGGAGACTCATCGTTGAGTACATGGGTGAGGGGAATTATCTGGAGGTGCAGCTAGGAATGAGGCCATAACTTCCCGCCTCTCTGTTCCAGTCCTCGGAGGCTGGTATAGTTGCACGATATTGCTTGCATGGTTCCAGTGGCAGGTTCGAGCAGTTCACCAGACCAATGAGAAGAGGTTGTGTGAGCTCCCTGAGCCAGGCACAGCATCACTACAATCCTCTGGCTATATATATTTGTATATTTTTAGTAGCAGCCTTTCTTGTAGACCTACGTTGTTGAATATGACGGGGTGACATCAATGAGCCTGACTCGAATATTCTAAGAAAATGGAAAATGAGTTTTGAATATGACAGGGTGACATCAATGAGCCTGGCTCGAATCTTCTAAGAAAATGGAAAATGAGTTTGCCACAGCTCATTTTTACAGGTTTATTATTTTACAGGACTAAGAGATGCGTTTCGTTGACCTGTTCAACGTGTTCAACGGCAGAGTGTTGAAGTGTGTACATGTTATCAGCTTGAGCATTCGACCGTAAGGTCGATATTGAGGTAGTCTTAAGATAGCAAGTACCCGAGTGCTAAAACTGGCTGTTAGTAGTTGCTAGAGATTGCTTGATATCTAGTGCTTCAGCGATGTCTAATCTCCTATTGTCGTTGTATGTCTCGATTATTTCGGTATTGTTAGGCAGGATATCTCTGGAGATGATCTGGTTGTGAGTAGAGATTATATGTTATTTCATAGAGTATACTTTGTCAGGAAACTGCTGAAAGATTTCTATGCAACAGACTGTCGATTAATACAAATGCTTGCGCGAATTGTGCGATGACCCAGGTGTATGTGTGTGTATGTGTGTGTGTGTGTGTGTGTGTGTGTATATCAGTCAAAAATACATATTCATACGCACATACAAGCCCTAAACCCAGCGATGAGAATCAGTTTTGAATACCTGCCTATCCTGCTGTGTATGCAACAGGTACTCGCGCCATGACACAAACATGTATACGAGATCGGTGTATTTTGTCACATACATGCAATGTATGACATGTTCCTCGTTTACATGCGTACAATGTAATGGTTGTATTTGTAGTACAAATGTTAGCGTGTGTGTGTGTGTGTGTGTGTGTGTGTGTGTGTGTGTGTGTGTGTGTGTGTGTGTGTGTGTGTGTGTGTGTGTGTGTGTGTGTGTGTGTGTGTGTGCTACATTTTTAGTTGTCAATATTTGCGTGTCTGTGCGTGTGTGCATGTGTGCGTTGCTCCTTGAGTTGCATATACGTGTTTGCTCAGCTATTCAAATCCACTTGTTTGATCTCAAAGCTTAGAAATTTGGTGTTTTATCTAATGGGATCAAAAGAAAGGCACAAATAAGCTTCTAGGAGATTGTAAATGCAGTGGAAACTCTTGGGTCCTGCCCTTGACATTAAAGGCTATGACCCAGAAGCCATACTCAAAACTTATCTCGAAAAATTGCTTCACCTACGTTCTATAAATGCAAATAAATGCCCAGCATCTCCACACACGAGGATGGTGACTGTGTCGAGCTCTAGCTCCTGGTTTTGTGCTTGATAATCTTGTATATTTTGGTACAAAAGCTTGCTTCTACGTACGAAGATTCTACAATAGAACCAACAAAGCATATTCTCCCTTTACCTGTTCCCCCTTACATTATCTGTCCCATCTGCCTTATATCTTCCTCTTCCACATCGACATCTCTCTCTCTTCCTTTCCATCAGCACTTCTCTCCTTCTCTCCTCTTCCTTCCATCAGCATTTCTTTTCTTCTTTCTTCCTTCCATCAACTCTTCGCAGATTCTCTTCCCCTCTAATCACTACTCCTCTCCTTTCCTCCTTCTATTTCCTCTCCCACTTCTTTCAATCTCTTTCCCATACCCCTCTCTCCCTCCGTCCCGGACCCAGACGGCAGAACCGAAACCTGTTTGACGTAAAAGGGAATTTGATATTAAGACCGGCAGCCCATGCATGGCTAATGAGATATTAATGACTTTTTTAGACAATTTCTGACAAATGTCAGACGGGTTTAAGCTGTTATAGATATCGCTTTTGACTTCTCATAACGAGAAAGAAGGAACTGAAGATGGGAGGAGGAGAAGAAGGAGGAGGAAAGGGGAGAGAAGAAGAGACAGAAGAAAATATGTACTCAACTAGTTGTATTTACCTAGCTGTGTTTGAGGAGGTCGAGCTTCAGCTCTTGGTCTCTTGTCTTAACTTTCACTCGATTGACTTGGTTGAGTGTCTTTCTGTATACTTTATTATCAATAGAGTGAGAGCGTCACTACCCGTCGCCACACGAGACAGAAGGATATAGAACATCCCACAATAGACAGACTGTTAACATGTTTAGGAGGCCTGACGGTTGAGTGGACAGCGCTCAGGGTTCGTAGTCCTAAGGTTACGGGTTCAATCCCCGTAAAGAAATTGGCAGAGTTTCTTTACACCCTGATGCCCGTGTTAACCTAGCAGTAAATAGGTACCTGGGAGTTAGACAGCTGCTACGGGCTGCTTCCTAGGGATATGTAACAAAAAGTAGGCCTGATCAATGACCGGGCCGCGGGGACGCTAAGCCCCGAAAGTTATCTCAAGATAACATTAAGAAGATAACGACGAAATTTCAGTGTTCAGTTGTTTCTGAAAAAACAATATTATTAATAGTGACTCCAGATATTCCATAAGTAGTCATTGGAGACCACTCAGTCAACTGGAACTCCGGTCTGTAGCAACTAAAGCGACATCTGGACTAGCTAGCTTTAAAATCCTTCACCTTAAGATCCATCATTTTGTGCAGTAAATCTCCAAAAAGGAATCTACGATGTTAGCTGCAAAATAGTAGACCAACGGAGCCGGTCGGCCGAGCGGACAGCACGCTGGGCTTGTGATCCTGTGGTCCTGGGTTCGATCCCAGGCGCCGGCGAGAAACATTGGGCAGAGTTTCTTTCACCCTATGCCCCTGTTACCTAGCAGTAAAATAGGTACCTGGGTGTTAGTCAGCTGTCACGGGCTGCTTCCTGGGGGTGGAGGCCTGGTCGAGGACCGGGCCGCGGGGACACTAAAAAGCCCCGAAATCATCTCAAGTTAACCTCAAGATAACATAACAATTTCGTCGACACGACAGCGAATCTGATGGGCGACAGAACGTCTCTAAGACAGCCAAGAAAACTCTCTGACCAGCCTCGATCATCCCGTATTCCCTCCACACGCCCTGTCAAGCTGGCCCGCCTTGACAGGGATAAAAATCTTGAATTTCGGTACGTTAATGTGAGTCAGATATTTTTTTTACCCCCCATTTCTCAAAGAGCCATAGCTGCTGCTGGCTCTTGGTGCAGAGAACTCTATAACCCGGTGGGAAACGCAACACTAGCGGGCCTGGAGGTCGTGGCGGCTGGGGAACCAGGATCACGTTATGAAAGAATTCACTCTTGTGTTTTTACCTGGTGGAGGTGTTTCTGGAGGTCATGAATATGTAGGGCAGGCTACAGAAGGAGGAGGAGCAAGGTGAAGTAGCCCCACTTCTTGGTCCGCCCAGCTGCCTTAAACCCTCCGAAAAAGTAAGATTAATAATTCTGACACGAATTTTCTCGATCTTTCTTATGTTTCTTTTCACTGTTGATGGTAACTGAAAAATCAATTCTCCAAAATTCATTTTTATTTATTTTGAATGAGTGAATTTTGGAGAATTGATTTTTCAATTACCATCAACAGTGAAAAGAAACATAAGAAAGATCGAGAAAATTCGTGTTAGAATTATTAATCTTACTTTTTCGTTCATATTTAATAATATATGTCTACAGGAAAGACTGATATATATATATATATATATATATATATATATATATATATATATATATATATATATATATATATATATATAATATATATATATATATATAATGAGAGTATGCAACGTAGGCAACGTGGGTCTCTGCTTATAGATGCTGTTCTTGCTCCACATTGCCTACTCTTCTCAGTATCTTCCATGTAGTGATCATAACCTCAACTTCTTCCCTCCTCGTCTTCCCAAACACCATCACTCCCTCACCTTTTCTCTCCCTCCTCCCCCCACTTACATCATTCAATTTTTCAGACCTCTCTTTCGTTGGCAGGAAGATAATGGCCATTATGGCTCTAAGCGAACACTCACCTAGTTCCGGCGAAGCAATTCTGCCGATTAAACCCTCATTAAGCATGCATATATAATGAGACCAGTGAGTGGTATGTGGTCTGCCTCTAGTGGCTCTCTCTTCTGCCTCTTGTGGCTCTTCCTTGTCTCTCGTGCCTCTTCCTACTGACTTAGGGTTCTTCTTGACTATTCTTATTATAGAGAAGAGATAGAGAGAGAGAGAGAGAGAGGAGGGAGAGAGAGAGAGAGACAGAGAGAGACAGAGAGAAAGAGGGAATCTTATCTTGAGAGTCTTAATCTTATCTCTCAAAGATAGAGAACTAGTGTAACTCACGCCTGCCGGCCCAAACAACCCTCATTGTTTGTCTCTGCAACACTCCTCTCTCACCTAGTCTCCAAGGGTTCTCAGATCATCCCTCCCAAACAACTTTAAGGTAAACTAGAGATTACTACATTACTCTCAAGTGTTTGGTGTAAGAGGATGACTGGAATGGCTGGACTGATGTTTACTGTTAGAGAGAGAGAAGTATTATATATATATATATATATATATATATATATATATATATATATATATATATATATATATATATATATATATATAATTAGTTTTTTCTTGTATTATACGAGTATGTTTTGATGTAATTGGATTGTTTTTTGACTCGAGGTCTTCTTGTCTGTTAAGCATGTGGGTGGCTGTGTTGGCGACGGTGGTGGCTGTGGTGTTCGCTCTTCGACTCTTCTACAGGCGGACCTCCGGTCGATGCCACTCCCAGAGGAAGCTGGTGGGCAAGACGGTCATCATAACAGGAGCCTCCGCAGGTCAGTGCCACGTCTCCCTTGTCTGGAGGAGAGCCAATTAGGCAGTTTGGCACGCCTCCAGACGTTACAATATGCCAGTGCACGGAGAAAGCCACTACAACGTGATGAATCAACGAGGAAAATGAATAAAGGGGGGTGGTAGGTGAGGAATACTCATCACTTCTTATAAACTGATACGTTACTCCATGAGGTGATAAGTTATCGCTACAGTTATATTTAAATCTACCTGCTGCTATCTTTGCCCTTGCACAATAAGTTAATGGATCACCTCTATGCTTCCTCAAAGGTCATGAGCTCTTAAACTGAGAATAAAGGTCAGTGTTATCACTATTATGGGGCTGCCATCTTGTGGCAGAAGTTGCCACTTTATGTCTGAGTAATTCTTGAAAAAAAGATGGAAGAAGCATGTTTTCAAATATATATATATTAACATTCTAAGGCTTGTTGAATTGGTAAATATGTCTTCCTTTATTTATTTTTGTAAACACATTCACGCACCCAGACGGCATACACGCACACACACACACACACACACACACACACACACACACACACACACACACACACACACACACACACACACACACATACAAACTGTGTTTCTCCACCTTCCCCCCCCCCACACATACACATGTTCAAGCACCCCAACACGCATACACTCCCCTATTGTAAACATAAATGTATAAACACACACACACACACCCACTTTCCTCCTCCCTTACACACACACATACACCATACACATTCAGGCTACTGACGAAGGTATACCTCTTGGCAGGTATCGGAAAGTATACCGCAATGGACCTTGTGAGGCGAGGAGCACGAGTCATCCTTGCTTGCAGGAACCTGCAGAAGGCATGCAAGGTTGCAGGTGAGTGTGTGCAATCAACTCACCAGACAGATCAAGGGGTACCAGGGGCCCGGGCTTCAAATGAATTGATGCAGGATGATAGATCATAGCTTGCAGGATCTAAGCAGAGAGAGAGAGAGAGAGAGAGAGAGAGAGAGAGAGAGAGAGAGAGAGAGAGAGAGAGAGAGAGAGAGAGAGAGAGAGAGAGAGAGAGAGAGAGAGAGAGAGAGAGAGAGAGAGATAGAGATAGAGATAGAGAGAGAGAGAGAGAAAGAGCGCAAACAAAACAACATTAAACCCGTGTTTTACCAACCAATAAACCCGCCAAACTTTCCTATAAGACACAACCGGTTTTTACCCCGTCAGCTGAGATCAGCAAAGCAGCAGGCAGCGGCGCCGGCGACCTGATAGTGAGACAGCTGGACACCTCAGACCTCGCCTCCGTCAGGAAGTTCGCTGAGGAGATCCTCCAGACGGAGAAGGCTCTCCACATTCTGGTAGGTCAACACTTTGGAGGTCAAGTACATGCAGTGGTCTAGCTGGGGTCTTGGAGAGCTTGAGAGCAAGATCAAGAACAGGAAAGGGAGAAAGGGACCCTAAGGGCTGGGGTCTAAGGGGCTGGGGTCTGGGGTCTGGGGGGTGGGGTCTAGGGGGCTGGGGTCTGGGGTCTGAGGGGTGGGGTCTAAGGGCTTGGGGGGTAAAGGCAAGGGGCTGAAAGCTGGCAATCACCAGCTATAAGACCCGTGCCCCTGTCAAGGGGGTGGGCCAAATTTCCCCAATCTGCATATATGGACGAGGAAGTAGTGCCATCAGGTCGTTATAACAGCTAGGTCGCTATAGCAGTCAGGTCGTTATAACAGACAAGTCGTTTCCAGATAATGACATATATAATGGCCAATTTTGGACGGTATTTTTATATATTTTCTGGATAATGGGAGAATATATACGCTAATTATCCCAACAAACACACAACCTAACCACGACGTCGTGACGATGTATCGATATCCCGACGTCGAAGTGGTTACGTCGTACGTTTGCTGAGACGTCCCTAGGGATCGGGAAACGTCGTATTACAGACGGAGGGGGGGGGGGGTTGAACTCCCTAAATTCGCATTTGATATCATGTTTTTCTCCTCCGGCTAGATCAATAACGCTGGCATCTACGGATCGGAGAAGAGACAGATGACTAGAGAGGGCTTGGAGGTCACGATGGCTACCAATCACTATGGTCACTTTCTTCTCACTAACCTCCTTCTTGGTCAGTATAACTCTCTATCTAATAATATTGATACTACTACTACTACTAATAATAATAATACGTATTATCATTTTTATTATTATTATAACAAAAAACTAATCAAATTAATACATTTTTTACTAATTATTTTAATTAGCACTAGTTTAATTAAAATTATATAGTCATACTAACTTACCATAATTCTGATAATTACCTTATCAACAAGAAATTATCCCAATACCAATATAATTATTAATGCAAATAACGTCAATAAATGACTTTAAACTCATCTTAACTAGCTTAATAGTAACGTGGCGTTGGTACCTCCATCAGAACTACTGAAGAAGAGTTGTCCTAGTCGCGTTATCAACGTGTCGTCAGCCGGTCATTTCATGGCTAGCACACTCAACCCTGACGCACTCAACTTCGAGGACGACTCCTACACTAGCATGAGGGCCTATTGCAGGAGCAAGCTTTGCAACATCCTTTTCACTCGGGAGTTGGCTGATAGGCTCAAAGGCACGGGTGAGTGGATGAGGTGATGTGGGGGGGGGGGGGGTAGGGGGGATTGTGGGGGAGTTGGGCGATAGGCCCAAAGGCACGGATGAGTGGATGAGGTGATGTGGGGGGGTAGGGGGGATTGTGGGGGAGTTGGCTGATAGACTCAAAGGCACGGGTGAGTGGATGAGGTGATGTGGGGGGGTGTAGGGGATTGTGGGGGAAGAGGAGAGGGGGGGGGGTGTGGAGGTGTGGGGAAGGGGGAAGGGGGGTGTAGTTATTACCAGATCTACCGTTATTTCACCAGTTATCAACTCTAGAGATAAGTTATCTTGAAATATTTCACTCACGTATTTCATATTTACTGATAGTGGTGTACTAATGCATTCATACTTACATGTTGTTACATCAATGTGAATAGCAACATCAATCAATGAACTCTCAACCAATCTCACTGACACGTACCATTGAGCTCATAACACCATCAATTTACAATCAATTTCGAAGGTTATTGAAGCCCAGGTATAATTTGGTACATATTCAGTATAAATTATTTACATTAAATACTCATACACCATTCTCCTGCAGCATACCGGTTCATCATCCGCACTCAGACCGGTTCATCATCCGCACTCAGACCGGTCCACGCTCCGGACTCTAACCGGTCCATAACCTGGACCCTAATCGGTCCACATAACTTACTCTAACATCCCACAACCCTAACTCCGAATTGACATAATTAGGTCCTCCCGGATTAATCAGTCATTTCTCACCCATATTATCACACACATGTTCGACTTATAGAGTCGACAGAGCTGGCCCATCCCGGCTCTGAGAAACCTCTTCACCTGGGTTCGACTCCTCGTCGAATCCAGGAGAAGGATAATATCGTCCTTTTTTTCACCGTTTCTCTACATACCTCTCTCTCCTCTACGTTCTCCTCCTCCTCCTCCTCTTCCTTCTATTCTCTTCTTTCTCTCCTTTCCCATCTATATAGTCGTAATGCTCTTCCAAGGGCTATATAATCCTAATGGCTTGGCGCTTTCTCCTGATAGTTCCCTTCCCCTTCTTTCTCTCCTCTCCTCTTTTCTCCTCTCCTCTCCTCTCCTCTTCCTATCCTCTCCTCTTCCTATCCTCTGTCCATATTCCTGTCTTCATTAACAGTTCATCTATTAAGTTTGATTTACAAAAAAATTATCTAATTAATACTTCCTCTAGGGCTTGTTTACAAGAACTCAGTAATTACACATTTTTTACAGAGTGAGAAAAAAAGATAATTCCAACAAATTATGTTCCCATCATTTGCATAATCGAAAATTTACTAGAGTTTTTTTTTCATTCATATTTTTCAAATGATTTTATCGAAATATTGGTTTGAAATGTAAGAGTTCTTGGCAAATGCGTTGGATTATATCTCAGTATACCTGTCGCCTCCACACCTGTTATGACGACACCTGTCACCTCCACAGACCTGTAATGACGACACCTGCCACCTCCACACACCTGTAATGACGACACTTTGTCACCTCCACATCTGTAATGACGACACCTGTCACCTCCACACACCTGTAATGACGACACCTGTCACCTCCACACCTGTAATGACGATATCTGTCACCTCCACACACCTGTAATGACGACACCTGTCACCTCCACACACCTGTAATGACGATACCTGTCACCTCCACACACCTGTAATGACGACACCTGTCACCTCTACACCTAGGAACACCTATATACACATCACCGTTATACCTATCGCATCCTCACACACACACACACACACACACACACACACACACACACACACACACACACACACACACACACACACACACACACACCCCTGTCTAACCATTCAAACCCACAAAAAATCACGTGTTGTGTCGACAGGAGTGACCGCTAACAGCCTCCACCCAGGGGTCGTTCACACGGAGCTCCTCTCATCTCACCCAAACAGCATCATGACCTGGCTCCTGAAACTCACTAACAGCATCATCTGCAAGGTCAGTCATCTTATCTCGCTGCAGGATGCTGCTGCTGCTGTACCATCTTGCCTTTGGTCAAGCATCATTGAGAAGTCACAATCGCCTTTTTTATCCTTTTTTTTAATATTTTCAGCAAAAAAGGCACTGCTGCCTATCCCTGTGATCTGTTTTAAATTTCAGTGACTTTTTCATCAATTAAATTCCTCGTATATTCATTTAAAAACACTTTTTTATTATCTTCTAATTTATTTTGTCTTAGATTTTCACTAATACAAGTCTATTCAGTTCAAGATCACTCCAACCCAACCAGCCTCAGCTTAGTCACTCACTATTTACCCAACTACCCATTCCTTACCCAACTACTCAGCCTTGCTACGGTTGTCCATCCATAACTACTCTGTATTACCCATTACCTTCTGTGCTTCAGGATGAGGAACTCGGGGCGCAAACTACCATTCACCTGGCTGTGTCAGACGAGGTAGAGGGGATCACTGGTCGCTACTTCGTCGACTGCAAGGTGTGGAGAGAGAGAGAGAGAGAGAGAGAGAGAGAGAGAGAGAGAGAGAGAGAGAGAGAGAGAGAGAGAGAGAGAGAGAGAGAGAGAGAGAGAGAGAGAGATAATGAGAGAGAGAGAAAGAGAGAGAGATAGAGAATGAGAGACATATTGAGTAAAGAGATATAGATACTGAAGGAGAAGTATAAGTTCTAAGAAAGAGATGTATTGAGAGAAAGAGACGGATATTGCGAAAGAGAGAGAGAGAGAGAAGAGATACAGAGAAAGTGACATTAAGAGAGAACGAGAGAAAGTGTCATTAAGAGAGAACGAGAGAAAGTGTCATTCAGAGAGAACGAGAGAAAGTGTCATTAAGAGAGAACGAGAGAAAGTGTCATTAAGAGAGAACGAGAGAAAGTGTCATTAAGAGAGAACGAGAGAAAGTGACATTAAGAGAGAACGAGAGAAAGTGTCATTAAGAGAGAACGAGAGAAAGTGTCATTAAGAGAGAACGAGAGAAAGTGTCAGTATCTGACGTGATTACATCAGCAAACTACACAACACCTATAAATCTCATATCACCCGATTGTTCTTACACTATTCACTACCTCTTAAGTAACATTTGAAGTCAAGGAATCGACACTTTTCCTCAAAGTCAGGTGCAATGAACGTTCACATTATATTTACTCTTAATAATTATAAAACAACTTCCAATTTGACTTCCACAATCTGACCTTATAAATACCAATTTGACTTCCACAATCTGACCTTATAAATACCAATTTGACTTCCACAATCTGACCTTATAAATACCAATTTGACTTCCACAATCTGACCTTATAAATACCAATTTGACTTCCACAATCTGACCTTATAAATACCAATTTGACTTCCACAATCTGACCTTATAAATACCAATTTGACTTCCACAATCTGACCTTATAAATACCAATTTGACTTCCACAATCTGACCTTATAAATACCAATTTGACTTCCACAATCTGACCTTATAAATACCAATTTGACTTCCACAATCTGACCTTATAAATACCAATTAAAAACAGTGGTTCTCAAGCTCACAATGATAAACAGAAAAGGTATGAATAGTCAAGAGAGGAAGAATGTTTGATGAATACATTGTTGCAATACATACACTGTTGTATGGAGAGGAATTCATTGTTGCATGAAGCCAATCACATTGCAGTATTGAGACAAGGGAGGGATAGTTAATGTGAGGAACTTCTCCTGCAGGAGGCGAAGCCGTCATCTCTGGCCCAACAGAAGCGATTGGCCCAACTGTTGTGGAAGGCTAGTGAGGTTGATGTCGAACGAAAACCCAGCGAGATTCCATACTAGCGAGACTCTGATGCTACTAGTAACGAGGGGGGGGGGGTCATCTACCAGCAACGGGTGGTCAGTTATCTACCAGCAACGGGTGGCCAGTCATCTACCAGCAACGAGTGGCCAGTCATCTACTAACAACGGGTGGTCAGTCATCTACCAGCAACAAGTGGCCAGTCATCTACCAGCAACGGGTGACCAGTCATCGACTTGTGGTGGCCAGTCATCTACCAGCAACGGGTGGCCAGTCATCTACTAGCAACAAGTGGCCAGTCATCTACCAGCAACAAGTGGCCAGTCATCTATCAGCAACGGATGGCCAGTCATCTACTAGCAATGGGTGATCATCTACTAACTTAAGCATACTAGCGCGATTGGGCCGTTACTAGCCCCGTGAACTGACTGTATTTAATAAATAATTTTTGTTGCTGTACTAGACGCTAGTATCTCGAGTGATCTATAGGTAGACTAATTGCTAGTTAAACCCTCAACTATTACCTAGACTCAATAACTAAGCAGACTGATCAATTACTTACCTGACTGATCAACTACTAGCCAAACTAATCAACTTTTAGCTAGCATGATCAATTACTAGGAGGCTCAAGATCGAAAGACTGATACTAGCTGGGTAGATATATTAATCACTAACTAGACAGACCGATCAATTACTAGGAGGCGAGACCCGCTACAAAATCTAGCTACTAGCCCGGCAGATATTGACTTATAGACTTATAAACTTGACTTAAACTTATATATATTGACTAGACTCAGAAACTAGCCCGACTTGCTAGTTGGGAGCTCGGGCTGTAGAACAACAAATAGCTGTGAAGATAAGATATCAGTGAATAAAACAAAGGAATATTTTTCATTAATTTGTATTATTCATAGATTTGAATTCTTCCAATGCAAAGTTAAGATTGAATGGATAGTGAAAGAAGGAGACAGATAAAACAGTGATAGAAAAACATAGAACCAAAATAGATAGATAAAAATAGATAGTAAGGGAGAAATATGCCACAGAGATAGATAAAAGTAATATAGAACGAAGCAAAATAAAAAAAATCATTGAAATACAATACATGAAATTGTTAATATTGTATTCCCATTTTAACAAATCCCGGCCGCTGTATTTAGTGTATACATGTTACTGGATGTTAATTAACATTATTGAAGTTTCAGTGTGTTTCTGTTAATTTCCTTTTCATTATTCCAAATTGTGAAGCAAGCGTTACACACAAATTAATAGTGTGCAATAATTTGTTTCTAAATTGCTTGCACACACACACACACACACACACACACACACACACACACACACACACACACCACACACACACCCACACACACACAGACGTCGGAGCCGGCGGCCGAGCGGACAGCACGCTGGTCACGTGATTCTGTGGTTCCAGGTTTGATCCCGGGCGCCGGCGAGAAACAAAATGGGCAGAGTTTCTTTCACCCTATGCCACTGTTACCTAGCAGTAAATAGGTACCTGGGAGTTAGTCAGCTGTCACGGGCTGCTTCCTGTGTGTGTGTGGGGAAAAAATAGTAACAGCTGATTGATTGATTGACAGTAGAGTGGTAGACCGAAAGAGCAGAGCTCAACCCCCGCAAGCACAACTAGTTGAATACAACTAGGTGAATACACACACACACACACACACACACACACACACACACACACACACACACACACACACACACACACACACACACACACACACACACACACACACACACACACACGGAAAACAAAAGTCCAACGCAATATATATATATTTTAAAACCCCAGAAAAATCCTCGACAACTTTTAATCTTGTTGCGTCACTTCTTGCTGGATTACGTTCCTCTTTGTTTCTTGGCGGCGTCTTCAGGTAAACTCCGACCGAGAAGTGTACGTAAACCCAAGTCTTTTGTGGTTTACTGTTCTGCAGCAGCAGCAGCAGCAGCAGCGCTCTGCTGGTGTCTGCTCAACACTCTAGACGAGGCAGCTATGATGGTTAGCATTGTAAACTGAATGGAAACTATTAAGTTTACACTGTATGTATCGTGACAGATCTCTAATCCTGTCCACGGAGGACAGAAGAGCCAGTTTACCATTGTCATAGACTTGAAGCTTGTTAAGCTTACTCTTAGGCTTAATTCCTGCCTGGCCTCCACAAGATGCAACCCACAACAGTCGAGTAACTCCCGGCTATATATATAGTGCTAGCTGAATCGACGCATCATCGTGGGAAATGAACCGTGCCCAAACGTCTCGACGTCCTGCCTCGCGAGTCGAACCCTGGTACATTTGGTTGTGAGCCCAATTGTCACTGGACAAGATTGTGGTACATAATAAGCCAACCAATGGCAGCCACGGTGGCGCCTGGCGCAAGAGTTCTGGTCTGGAACTTGTATAAAACTTGATCAACTTCCGGTCGCTGTTCTTGCTAATTATTCCTTTGGTCTCGAAGGAGTTTTGTCGTGTTGGTTTCTTGCCACGCCAGCAGCAGCAGCAGCAGCAGCAACAGCAGCAGCAGCAACAGCAGCAGCAGTAACAGCAGCAGCAACAGCAGCAGCAACAGCAGCAGCAACAGCAGCAGCAGCAGCAGCAGTAACAGCAGCAGTAACAGCAGCAGCAACAGCAGCAGCAACAGCAACAGCAGCAGCAGCAGCAGCAGCAGCAGTAACAGCAGCAGTAACAGCAGCAGCAACAGCAGCAGCAACAGCAGCAGCACCAGTAGCAGCAACAGCAACAGCAGCAGCAACAGCATCGAGCCAGCACTCAGAATACTCGCTCGAGGTGGAACAACGCGACAATTGCCCCAAATGAAAATCGACACCCCCCACCTTCCCTCTCTCATTCACCCGCTTTCAATACGCGGGTTCGAATCCCTTCGTTGCACTGGAAGATTTGGCCTCACGAGCGCCCCAGAGCGACACAAGCGTTACGAAGATCAAAGAGAAACTCTTTTGATCTACGATGATTCGGATTCGAGTCTATCACACAGTTTCACATTGTTATGACTTTCAGTTTTCTCTTCATCTGGAGGGCCGACAATGGCAACAATAACTTATATTTTGTTAGTGTCGTTTAATTTGTTATTGTTGATAATGCTTTTTTTCTTGCACCCCACACAGCTCGTCACCTCGCTTGTACCACCACCACACTAATCACCACGTCTCATGTACACCTTAACAACCACAACTGATGCTCTTGGATCCCCTAATCAGCTGTTAGGTTTAAAGATTTTGTATCTCCAGCTGAGGCTTCAACACCCATCACCTCCTGCTGCCAGGGAAGAAGCAGCAGCACCTCCTGCTACTAGGGAGGAAAGAGTAATATCTCTTGGGTGCAAACATTCGCTACCGGGTCCATTACATTAGAAACAACTACAATTCACTACAAGCATATCCCATCTCCTCGTCCTCATATCCCATCTCCTCGTCCTCATATCCCATCTCCTCGTCCTCATATCCCATCTCCTCGTCCTCATATCCCATCTCCTCGTCCTCATATCCCATCTCCTCGTCCTCATATTCCATCTCCTAGACCTCATATCCCATCTCCTAGACCTCATATCCCATCTCCTCGTCCTCATATCCCATCTCCTCGTCCTCATATCCCATCTCCTCGTCCTCATATCCCGTCTCCTAGACCTCATATCCCATCTCCTCGTCCTCATATCCCATCTCCTCGTCCTCATATCCCATCTCCTCGTCCTCATATCCCATCTCTTCGTCCTCATATCCCAGCCCCGTGTCCTCATATCCCATCTCCTCGTCCTCATATCCCATCTCCTCGTCCTCATATCCCATCTCCTCGTCCTCATATCCCATCTCCTCGTCCTCATATCCCATCTCCTAGACCTCATATCCCATCTCCTCGTCCTCATATCCCATCTCCTCGTCCTCATATCCCATCTCCTCGTCCTCATATCCCATCTCTTCGTCCTCATATCCCAGCCCCGTGTCCTCATATCCCATCTCCTCGTCCTCATATCCCATCTCCTCGTCCTCATATCCCATCTCCTCGTCCTCATATCCCAGCCCCGTGTCCTCATATCCTCTAGATGAGAGGACAGCTTGTCAGATGAGCTGTTCTCGATTTTAATCTACCACTCCGTAAATAACACAACCCGTGTGGCTTCAACAAACACATACGAAGCCCAAGCCAACCCTCTTGACCTCTCGAACGGACAGAAACCGTCAACATTTCGGTGCTTCCATTTTTGACTAATAGCTCGCATCCTTAACGGATTGGTCGATTACTTTAAAAAGTGGATTAGTCGATTACATAAAAGTCTCGACAGCTGGTCGAGACGAACGTAGTACCACGATAGAGTTTAGAGCAGCATCGAGCCATAGAACCTGATGTAGGCTTGAGGGCCACACTGAGACATAGAGCCTGAAGAGACATTAGAACTTTGTATCGCCACAGAGCCTGAGAAACTCTATAGAAACAGATTTAGAGGCATGATATCCTGTCTACAGGATATCACTCTACGAAGTCGCGGGTCTCCATCCGGTAACGAGCTTTGTCCTGTATAAACGGGGATCCTGTAGATGCCTCCGTCTCAAATACACTTCCAGTGTATTTGAGTGAATGATGTCGAGTATTTAGGTGAGCGTGGTTCAGTGTTTGCGTGGGTGAGTGCGTGCGTGAGTGCGTGGGTGAGTGTGTCTGCTCATCTCGTAGGGAACAAATCTCCCCACACAAGACGAGGGCCTCGGGAAAGAGCCAAAGACAGGGAGGAATGGGTCTAATTTTCTCCCTAGTTTCCAAGGTGATGAGGCGGTGAATGGGGAGCTTAACTGGTTGGGGAGGTTATGGGGAGGATATGGAGGAGGTTAGAAGGTGGGGAAGTTATGGGGGAGGTTAGTAGGTAGGGAGGTAAGCTACCCTGATACCAATACCTAGTCCACTCTACTAGGAAAATTGGGCTACAAGGTCTTTATTCCTTCCTTTAATATAGTTAATTTAGTTGTTATCCGGAACCACCTGGTTGGAGGCCTGGTCGAGGACCGGGCCGCGGGGACACTAAAGCCCCGAAATCATCTCAAGATAACCTCAAGATCTCAAGATAACCTCCTCATTACCCTCATCCGGAAGCATGAGGCAAGAGATCCTCATCTGCTGACACTGCTCTCTAAGTGTCAGCAGATGCTCTCGGACGGAGGTTCGAATCCTCATCACAGCCCTTGAGGATTTGTTCATTTGTCAGCAGATGTTCTTCCAGTTATGTAAACATCACCTTGAACAGTAGAGTTGCAAAAACTTGTATTCTTATCATTATAACATCTCAGTGTATTTCTTTTGTGTGATAAGAATTTTTGTAATGTTATTCAGTAATCCTGCTGCAGAAATTGGACTAAACTCCATTAAACAACATCAAACTATTTTTTTTTCCTATCGAACCAAACTCTCCTCTATGTTATTCTTTCAGATTCCTGGCTTTTATACTGATGCTATCTTGAGATGATTTCGGGGCTTTAGTGTCCCCGCGGCCCGGTCCTCGACCAGGCCTCCACCCCCAGGAAGCAGCCCGTGACAGCTGACTAACTCCCAGGTACCTATTTACTGCTAGGTAACAGGGGCATTTAGGGTGAAAGAAACTTTGCCCAATTGTTTCTGCCTCGTGCGGGAATCGAACCCGCGCCACAGAATTACGAGTCCTGCGCGCTATCCACCAGGCTACGAGGCCCCCTATGCTGCTCATAGATATATTAATTTTTTTTTTAGTTGAATGAATTAAAAATGGAGCTCCTTCTAGACGGGTTCTTTTGTGGAATAAAAAGTTGAATAATTTTATATCTTGTTAATATTTTCGTGCGAATCCGTATTGCCTACGAGGAAGTGAAGGCAAGTCAGGAGGCAGCTCTGAGGCAGCTGTGAGGCAGCTGTAAGGCAGCTGTAAGGCAGCTGTAAGGCAGCTGTAAGGCAGCTGTAAGGCAGCTGTAAGGCAGCTGTAAGGCAGCTGTAAGGCAGCTGTAAGGCAGCTGTAAGGCAGCTGTAAGGCAGCTGTAAGGCAGCTGTAAGGCAGCTGTGAGGCAGCTGTGAGGCAGCTGTAAGGCAGCTGTGAGGCAGCTGTGAGGCAGCTGTGAGGCAGCTGTAAGGCAGCTGTGAGGCAGCTGTAAGGCAGCTGTGAGGCAGCTGTAAGGCAGCTGTGAGGCAGCTGTAAGTTACTGATAT